TAAGAAGTAAGGCAAATTGATCTCACTTAAAAGTAATGTCAACAACGCTTACCGTAGCTGGTGTGTCAAAGTCAAAACAATCAGTGAACAGAAAAGCAAAGAATGCCAGCAATGAAACCAAAAAGCCGCTAGGAAAATAGAAATGCGGTGGTGAAAAACCAAAAGCAAATGGACAGCCGTCTCCTACTGATATTTCCACGGCATCCAAACCAGAGACCTAGACAACCGCCCACTCCATAACCGCTAGGGACGAAAGTATCAGAACCGTTAGCAGAGTAATTTTGATTTGCATAGACTTATCGCTAGCAATGGCTGGGAGTCTATCGTCGAAACCACAGACCAGGTTAGTAAATGTAAGAGATCCGGGTCGATAATCTGAGAAAAATGAAATATTCACTGGACATTGCATTGTTGACGGTTGGGAGCGCTTGGTCGGCTCTGCATTCAAGTCGGTCAAGACGACGACACATTTTTCACTTTTAGGAGAGCTCGCAAAAGTTAAGGTCAATCGGATTATCTCTCTCGTCTCGTTTGTGCAAAAACTGGTTAACGAATTTACCCGGTAGCAGTTGGCTTTGGATAACCGACGAAGATACTGTAATGCAGCAACCCTGTCTTCCGGTTCACTTCAGTGCCTCAACACGCTGGTATAGTGCTCTTAGGCCACTACGCCTGTGACTAATTGAGAAGTTGTTATCATAGACCTTGGAGGACCATTAGATTTCCAAGATCCTATTCCTTTGGAGTGTGTGCAACTGATTTGTGGGGGGTCCTTGAATAAATAAACACGCCTTTTCATATGTTTTATTTATTTTTTGGGGTGTCGTTCTCAAGCGTCTCGAAGCTGTACCTATAAGTAATGGTAATTATGAAAAAGATGTTATTTTGTGGTTTATATTTTGAGACCTGTTTTGACTGATATGACAGCAGTCGTTGACACAGAGGACTGCGAACAATAATACTTTGGGGTAAGAGAATGCCATATTAACAGCACAAGTACTAGCGTGTAAGGGCGTTTGACTAGTACCCTGAAATGTATTACTAGCTGCCCGTCGGCAGTTGATGAATATCACGTGGTTACCCAATGTGAATGATGAGCCTTAGCCTAAATATTCATGCATTACATTTTCTGTCTGTGACTATAGACAGGGAGTATATTGATGTATTCCATGTTCGCAGCTATTTCCTGCGGAAATTAAAAGATAACAATTTTTAAATTGGAGTACCTGCGAAACAGCAGACGAGGAATGCTGGGAGACGCACCGATGAGTCGATCCCCTCGCAGCAACGACAGAATCTCGGCGAAACACGCGCTTCTGGGTTTCGACTAGCGAGTGTGCTTTTGGTATGGTATCCCTTTATTTTAAAATATATTGATGGCCGCCTGTCGACAGTTAATGGATACAGTACGTTTACCCGCTTTGGTTGATGGTCTTCGACACCTCGACAGCTGCAGAGCCTCCAACCCCATTACTAGCTTTCTAAACGGTACGCCATTGCAAAACATTGACAGTCAGAAGGACTTGGGTGTGTGGATTACACCTTCACTCAAACGAACAATGAATTCCAAGTCCACCATGCCTGTATTGTCCTCTCCTCATGCGTGGATTTATTTAAGTGCCATCTCAAAGCCTCTCACTGGCTAATCACAAAGAACAGTTTGACCGTCGAGGACGACGCTCACCGTGTGCTCCACAACGTGTGCTCCAAGGTGAGAGCAGACAAGATGAATTGCGCGTGAAGTGGTTTGTAATGGAGGAAGGCTTGCGAAGCGTCTACCACACTCTCCTCCTCACCAACCTGGACCCGATGTCCAGAGAAAATCAAGGAGACTGGAGGCGAGAAGGAGGCAAATGACTGGCACGGCCAGACCAGCATCTGTGCATGACACCACATCCCCCGGTTCACAAGAACTACTTGACTAGGTTTTTAATCAACAACAAAAAGAGAACGGGCCAAAAAGAGGAAGATGACTGGGCAATTGTGCACATAACCTGCATACCTAGTGAGGAGCGGAAGCGCATGGATCTGCTGCAAACCGTGATCTACCAGTGTACACCAAGTTACGAAGGCCGTGGTTTATTGAATCGTGACACAGCAGACGCAGTCAGTCGTCAAAGCCCAGTGTGATGAAACGCATGCCTGCATTTAGTCTGAGCCATCACGCCTCAAAAGCTAAGCAACCAGTCAGTTATCGACGGAGAGCCACCACCACCACGTACACACACGCACACATTTCCCACATGCGTAGGAGTGCCAAAGGTCGCGTTACGAAGGCGCCGTTGTAGTCTGACACCCAGCCCATCAGTCCGCCACTCCACACAAACACACAAAACTCGGCTGACTGCGTAGACTTTGTTGGGACGTCAGCCGATAACCTCCCATGCCATGGTGCTTTGTGCACCGTGAAAAACTCGGGCTCGGGTCACACAGGCAGCCACAAGGAGAAGGAGCCGAGAAGCAGACTTCCCATTTAAGTGGGCGGTTTAGTTTAGTGATTGAGTAGTATGGCGATGTAGAATTGTGGTGCAGCTATTGATAGACGAAGTGTGTGATGGTGTAGCGTAGCCAGTGGTTGTCTGCATGTGACGTACTGAGTCCATGAGGTGACTGAATGTGCTGGAAGTCGAGGAAGACGTGTCGAGTGTATGTGAATATTTCAGACACTCCAGTCTCCATGCGACAGATTCTCAAGCAACGTACTCGGCCGATGTGGGAGATGAAAGTGCGATCGCAATGAAGATGGGTTGGAACCGTTTCCGCATCGTTGGAGGTGGGGGTGTTGGCTGTATCGGTAGTAGGTGATGGGACTTCGGATGTCGTCCATTCGGCGGGGGAGTGCGAGAGATCGTGGTGACGGCACAGCTGGTCGCTACGTTTGACGCAGTGGTTGAGGCGAGGCGGTTTATGGCAGTGATTGATGGCGGCCGGGCATCGGCAGTGTGATCATCGGTGACGGGGTGGTCTTCGTGGAGTTTGCAGCAGGAGCAAGAGTGGGAGGAGGTGTTAACGTTGTCGGGCCATTGGTGCATTCAATCCAAAGGACTCCTACGAGACCGATTCGGATGCGGTATGTGCGTTGGCGGCGAGGGCATGTTGGAAGCGGCTGACTGTTAACACTGAGGAATCGAGACACTTGTGACTTGAGAGCCACCAATTTGTCGTTGGCAGCGACGGTCCGATTTGCTTCGTAGATGTCTGCGTGGGTCCTCACTTCTCTTCTCCAAACCAGTCCCCTCACGTCGATGGGTTGATATGCAATCGTTTCAAGGAGTTCTTCAAAGTATCCATGTTGCGCCGTCTTTGTTTTTACTGACGAGTACCTGTGGCGACACCACCATAGAAGAATTGCTTCGGTAGATATGTATCTTCCATTCTCACGAGATGGACGCACCAACGTAGTCGCAATTGCCTCAAATTGGCGTCAATTCCGAGAATTTGATACGTTCCATACTTTCGTGTCGGGAATCCTGTCTTGTCATCTCGACATTTGTGGATGCAGAGGATGGACTCCAAAATTAAAACACTGTTCTCCCCCACGCTGATCTAGGACTTTCATCTCACCCCTTCCTCCATGGCGCCCAAACCTCATAGGTAAAACCGTTTAAGATGATCGCCACTACTTTCAAGATGCAGAAAAAGCGTCCGCAGAAGCGTTTATCGGGGAAAAACTGGTCTGGACAATGCCTGAACCAAGGCCTTTTCGTGTTCCTTCAACAAAAAGGAATCTAGTCCGGTGCTTGCCGCAAGGGACGTGTGTCGTGAAAACGGGTATCCTGACACATTTGCTGCAAGAGATATTGCCAAACAACCGGGAAAGTCGACTATTCACTGATGTAGTATTCTTTATTCGCGGAGGGGGCGAAATTAAGTTGTCATCGTAGACCACCTTTATATGAACCTATTTGTCCTATCGCTCCTGCGCAAAAAGGTTGTATTGGCGAATTCATCCGCGTCTGACTTGGAGAAGGCGACACTATGGGCACAGTCAGCACGATTCCCGTATGCGTTGTTGTTTCTGGGCATCGTGTGGACCCCAGCGGATCTTTTTGTATGAATCCTAAGGCTCCATCTATTAACCCTAGGCTACTGGATGGGGGTCTGTCAGCAACAACGGAGGCGGCCGCTTTTAGATCACAAAAGCCAGTCATATGCGCGCAGAAGAACCCTATCTACAACGAGATGTTCTTGTTGATTGACCATGCCAGCTAAAAGTGACTATAAGTCCTAGAAATCAAGTTAGCAACCGCGGAGTCCACATTCAGGAAGTTGCGTGAATCGATCGCGATTTATCGTGTTGTCATTGAAATTGCTGCCGACAATTGAGCGGAATTTATGTCCTCCCACAGAACTTTGATTGGATGAAAAGCAATAGGTGGATCTCAAGTATGTGAAACCAGATGCGCAGGTAAGTTCTACGAAGCGCTTTACGCACTCCTAACAACTCTGTAATGACGGACAGACTGACTGTCCTCGGTGAATGTAAATATCTCGTCGGCACGGACCTTGCTGTTGGGGGAGAAGATTTAGGTCACTACGAGGTTTGGCAACTGCAATATCAATGGATCCTCTGCTGTGGGCCCACGAGAGTCACAGTCTTCTACTGCCAAATTGCTTACCAAACTAATGGTTCGTCGATTATGTAATGTCATGTATAGACAGACAACTTGATAATAAATGCCGTTTGTATGCGGCTTCTCGAAGGAATGTGGCACTTACCACGGTATCCACTAAGTACTTTCTACGCATAAAATTTATGTCGATCAGAGCAGTAGTGAATATCCAAATAAATTGCATCAATCACTTCTTACTTCTAGCAAATCAGTACTCATCATTTCTAATGTAAACAACTGCCTAGCATTTATTGACGTGCATTTAGGAAAGTGTGTTGACGTGGAGCTTGCGATGGGGACCAATGATATGGCAGCCTGGATTTTCAAGCAATCCACACTTCCAAAATAAATACAACGCCTGTGCGGAGGGATCACACGCTAGTGGGAATGCACGAGATGGCGGTTTTTCATTTCTTCATAGTCGCGTTGACCTACTTTGAATATGGGTAAACTACTGGTTTTCCATTCTCAAAAGATCACTTTTATTGAGTAATTTTACTAACGTCCGCGAAATTGAAAGCTTGCATCTTTAAATTGAGAATACTTTGTGAACAGGCACCTGCTTCCTTTGTCATCCCTAGTTCACCGGGTGTATTAAATCTGAAGTGTACGTAATCTTACCTCACCATCCAGAATATCGTGAAATTCACCAATAGCTTGCACATCGGACATCCGATCTCCACTAATCTGACTCACTTTCAACCCTAACCCTCCCTCAAGCAGGTCGTCTGTGTTTTAAGTGTTTGAACAATATTCGCATCTGTTACGATTTACGCCGTGAACTATTTTCTCCATGATCTTTACATTTTCGAACGTTGCGCTCTAACTGTATCTAAATGCGATATTTTTAAAATAACGTCAACTTCTAAGTCGATACCTACCATTCGACAACCTGCAAGGAATATAAAACGTGGTAACGCTCAGTTACGCATTGTGAAATGAGGAAGGGAAGCAATCCCGTTTGTGCAAATTTTAAAGCTCTCGCCGCGAATGTGAGTTTAGGCCTTTTGAAATAAGTATACAGTCAGAAGTCTTCACATTTCCGACAGTTATGTTTTTTCTGCGCCAAAACTTCCTCTTCAGTAGGTGGGCTAACTCATGAAATGTCAACCGAAATTCCGAAATGCGTTTTGGGCTCGAAACGATTACTTATAGTGGGTTGCAAAAATAATCATCGTAGAGCATAACTTTATAATGATTCAGTTACCAAAAGATACCGGATTTGAACGCACCCCTTTGCGCTGCTTGTAAAAACAATACCATGTAATAAATGCCTACTTACGTATCATGTCTTTTTTCATGTATTTTCGATGCTCCTAATAAGTATATTAGATTTCATATCTAACATACACAAATATATTCATTCTCCTGCTTATTCGGTAGAAAATGACGCTTTCCTTTATTTTTACACTCGAAGAAAGGGTATAATTCGGTGTTAAAAAGGTTTCTAATTATGAGATTTTTTAGTATCATGTAATGGCCGTTCATAAAACGTCATGTCAATGCATTTACCAATGTGGCTTGCAGAGTTACCAATATGGCTTAACTCCACTGCTAGATTATCCGAGGCCCAAATATCCTCCTCATAATACCACAGAGAAATGTATGATTTTTCGTATGCAAAAACTACACGGTTTGTAGTTTGAAAGCCTGAATACAAGTTTAACTGCAGATCGGGTTCGAATTTATCGAGGAATGGGTAAAGTTTTTGAAAACCAAATTATACCTTTCCTTCAAGTATGCAATTATAAGAAGACGTCATTTTCTATCAAATATGCAAGAGAACGAATATGTTTATGCATGTTTCCCCTTGAAATATAATTGAATTTGTAGGGTCATCGTAAGACAAAAAGAAAGAAAGCTAGATAATTAGTCATTTATCACAGAGTATTGTTTTACATGCAACGGAAAGAGGTGCATTTCAAAGCCGGCATCCTGTGGTAACTTAACCATGCTGTACGATGCTTAGTTTTACAACTTTACTTTATTAGTCTTTTCGAAACCAAAATGCATTTCCGAATTTCGGTTGACATTTCGTGAGGTAGCTTACATAATGTACCTGGTAAATGGTATAAAACAAAAAGGCTAGGTCAAGAATATCTTTGTAGGTAGAAGAACCATTAAATTCCTGTGCACGTGCCTTCATAACTAGGAGATGCTCTTGAAGGACTGCTAAGTGGGATCGTTTTCGGGCAAGTCCTTTTATTTCACTGTCCTCATTAAAAGCAACTCATCAATACTGCTTCATATAATTTTGAATTCACCCTCGAGGTCAAATTGCAAAATGCGATTCCTGTGAAGACTAACTCCGACTTGAGTTGATCTGCAGACATTAGTGCTTCAAGAGAGTGGCGAGCTATATCATATTGATTTTTTAACGGAACTATGAGTCAATTTTAGGTACTGTCAAGACCCTTGCAACTGGAGTAAACGTATTATCCCGAGGGGAGCAGCTGGAAACTTCACCGTAGAAGTTCCGATACATTACAGTTATCGGGTGAGTTCACAAATTACAGGTGCTGATGAAATGAATACCTGTTAGGGATGCGAAAAGCGCTTTTTAATTAGCCTGTCATATAATGTTGCAAATGTTTATAACAACAATGCCTTATCCATGTCTTTCAGGGTGGATATATAAATGGGGAACCCTTTGGAACATATTTTTGGGCAAGGGGCTGGTGTACGCACAAAAAGGGCTATTTTCAGTGTCCCTATGGAAAACGTATGCTGCTTGTCCTTGCCCAATCCTTCAAACAAACATTTGCCTCTAACGTAAACAAGTTATAGATCACTCCTGTCTAGTCAAACCAAAAAAACACAAAACTCTCCATCGACAACGAGATAATTACCAATATACTTCAAACAAAATAAATAATTTGGGAATAAAAGCAACTGATTTGTACACTTTTGACCTTGATTCCCTAAGCCATGCTCAGACATGAAGTGATTGCGCGAAACACTAAATATTTAAACATACTAGAAATCGATATTTCTGTCACTCCTGCTGGTCAGACTTTACCGTGTGCTGACATCATGAACTGATTAGCAAACGTATTCTCCACTATTCCTTGAAGTTTTTGAACACACCAGCTAATTTCGTATGTCGATTTATGAATGAGTTTTCAGAATAAATGACCTCTAAAAATTCGTTACCATTTCTAAACTTATGTAAATGTGTATTGCGAAATGAGCATCCCCGAAAATTTAGTGAAAAAGCCGGCAGTTTTTTATCGTGTAAATAAATCACATATAAATATATTACTGTCTTTATGTAGCGGTGACGTGCTGCATAAAATATTCCAATAAAAATAAATTAGAATATTTATTGTTGACTTAATTGCACGAGGAATTAAATAAAATAATGACTCGACGTTCACTCTGTATTTTAAGGGAATGACATCCATACGACCACCCTCACACTCCCACAAGTTGAAAATATCTCCTACGTTATGCTGAAGGACAGCTATCCGATTACGCTTCACAGGACGGAGGACAAAACCGTCCTTACGTTTGTTTGTTTCCCACCCTGACGTATTTGCCACATTCATCTTTCCTGTTGTCCAACTCATTTAAAACAAACGACTATATCGCATTTTCCCTAAATTTCAATTTTAACAATGTACTCTTCCTCAGCCGGTTTTCATGTGAAGGAGGGCGACAGCTTAGATTTCTGCTCAGAGTACTACACCTTCACATTGAGATGGCACATAAATGGCAAAGTTGCTGACTTGAAAGATGTAAGTCATGAACGAGAACCGTACGTGCACTTAACGTATGACAGAATGAGGAAATTTTAATTAATATTGACCTCCTTTCAACAGGTCAGTTGTTACAGAAATGGCGTTCAATTTTGCAGTGGATTGAGTTCTGCTGATACTAGAGACAAGAATAATTGTGGTAAGTACCCCACGGTTATTTTCTTCTGGTAAAAAAGTATTTGGCCCTCATTAGTCCATTTTCATAAAACATTTAGTTTTCTATTATTTTAGGCGGTTACGCGCATCAAAATAACATTGCATTTTCGAAAATATTTTAGGTTTTTCTAAAACAAACGGCGGACTATGCATAGGATACAGCTTTTTCAAACCATCAACACGTTTCGGATACTACTATTGTTACCTGGACAAAGGAATGACCAAAGCCCTGACTTATATCGTTGACTGGAAAAGTTCGTTTATAAGTGTTTTCCTAAACTACTGATCAGTGAAACTTATTGTTATTTCACAGTAATTTGGTAAGCAGTACATGTATGACGACCTCAGTTAATACAAGTCCTTCTGCGATTACTGATGAAGTCTAAAGACTTACCAATTTTAGCCTGAATTTAGCCTGAAAATTTTGTTAAATATATTGAACACAATTCCCATTATAGATGCTACAAAAACGAGGGATACATCAGTTATCGTGACGGAGTCGGGCATGCATCGGGACATTCCAATGCCTTCGACCTCCAGCGCACCAATAATACTAGGCAAGTCAGTGATAGTGCCTACTTAATCATCGCACTTATCCATGGGCTTAAATGTATGCTGAATATGTAGAAAAGATATATCAAGACACATTTATTAATGATTTCTATGCAGGCGATTTAAATTTACGTGACCATACCTGCAACAGTGCAAGAATGTGAAAGGAGAAAGCACTGTTATGAATGCAATATATAATTTATAATAGAAATTGTAGAAACAACTGTGGGTTTGGATATTGGTTTGTGTGCAATAAATTTATCCATTTTTATTGATGCTGTTGTCTTTAGTTGAGATCACAATGGTGTGGCTGTGGCCGTTTCTTGCAAGTCATCTATAAATCTCGGAAACCAAGGAGGATGTGCAAGTATGTGACAACTGCCTACGACGAGCTTCACCTCACTCCGTCACAAAATATCGTAGCACTTTATAAACATGCTTAATTAACCATTTTTCAGATAGAAAAGTCTCTTGATAAAGAGCTTACTAAGTGTCCACCTCTTAATAAACGGAATTATTGGGAATTTGCAAGTCTTCTCACAGGACCTTGCGAGCGAATAAATCAATGAACAAAATTATTATTATTAATTTTATTATTATTATTTTATTTATTAGCAATCAAGCGGTATGGTGCAAATGTGAAAAGCAGAAAGTCAAAGCCGGATTTAAAAGGGCTATATGGAGGATTAGAGTAGTTACTTAAGAGATAATGAAACGACAGAACAAGGGTAGAAGACATCGTGCTCTCATTAGTGCCTCTTTTTGCGTAGGAACTACCGGTGCAAATGACAATACAGGAAATATTGGGTGCAGTCTGAAAATGGTGAGCAAAAACCAGAAGAGAATTCAAATTTGTGGTTTCAACAGGGTTGACTCACAGTCGGAAGAACAGTTAACATTTTAGAGTTGTGAAAATCCCCATCACTATGTTCAGAAACGAAAATGGCGAGGGAACGTTTCTTTCGGTAAATTCTCATCAGGCCAATACAGTTACATAGGGCGGGGTACAGTGAGTGAAACAAAAATCGATAAAAGTTAGGTTTTAAATTACAGGCTCGGCAAGAGTAGAAGGGCACCGAAAGTTGTATGTGGTTAGTCAACCTTTGACCACGGTAAGCGCGGAGCTTGAACAAGGTTCTTTTGGGCGCATAGAGTCGGTTTTCGTAACCTTATGGCGGCCGCTTCTGCTGTTGCTAACAGGCGCTGGCCCAGTAGCTTAGGGTAGCTCGAGGGGACCTTGTAAATCACACGAAATGCTTCAGTGGGGTCCACACGATGCCCTGAGTCCACTGCATGCGCAAGGATGGCGCTGTCTATTCTCCTAGTTTCACCCTTTTCCAGCCACGCGGAAAGGCGCTCTGGTATTCTTTTGCTGATAAAAGTGGGGAGGCAAATTCGAGGAAGAAGTAGCTAAGGAGGAACTCATGCACTAAAGACTGCCATCTGTGACAGACAGCTGGCAAGTACCACAGTTCCGGAACAATCCACTACCCTTACCTGAATCTGTCTCTGACGATGGACTCAAGTGATTAACTGAAACTTCAGGCGACTAATGCTCTTGTTTCAGCGATCACGTGTCTCCTTCATAAACAATAAAGAAGCCGTTCCGGTGCTCGTTCTTACATCCTTATTCGCACACTCAACTGGAAATTGAACTGACATTTCGAGTTTACCTCCAACATCGGACAATGTTTGTATTGCTTATTCGCTTTCAAGCGAGCTATTTGCTTCTCTTCACATATGACTCGTCAGGGGCCTTCTCTTGTCCGAATCAGTGGAAAAAAGGAACGGGAAGGGCATAAAAGCAAGCAGTGCATCCTAAAACGACAATTTATTTTACACTGTACGAGTATGAGGAAAAATTATTTAATTTTAACTATGGGGAAAATATTTTTGAATGGAACGATCGTCTAATCTCAGTTAAAACAACCAGAAACATCTCTGTAAAAGGTCCCAGTACGAAATTTAAAAGTGTGGTCGGAATGTATAATGCGAAAAAACGGAGAATCTGTTTTAATCAGAAGGTCCGTTTCAGGATGAGAAAGTGACACGAATGTCCGAAAAAAACATTCTATTCGCCTGAAGTTTTCCTTTCAGATTCACATGCAGCATCAGCTGCGGAGTCGGATAAGACCATTACTCACAATATGCTACTGAGTAATACGACGAAAAAGCCAGTAACACTAGAGTATAATTCCGGAGCAATTTTCTGTTTATCGATATATTAGTGAGTTTTAGTTTGCAAAAATAGATTAAGCGGGCGTCGTTCGATCGGACTATATAGATTAGGATAGCGACAGTGCAAACCAACATGCCAAAGCTACAATTGCAGTTTAACTTACGTTATGTCAATAGTGTAAATATCCATATATCGATATGCGTAAAGATTCGAGGTCCAGACATTGTATCGCGTTCATCATCTCCCAAAGAAGACGAAGAAGTAGAGAGGGCGAATTCATGGACCATATTGTATTCGAACTGACGTTTCGGAATCTTCCTCGTTTCCATCATCAGAGTAGCGTAATTGTTGCACTTGCCGGTCTTGAGTTGTTCAGTCTTGCCGCTTGCCTCGTATAATAGCCGTGCTGGACGCACGAACTTTGACCTGCCTGTTTGCCGCTGACTGGCTTAGACCTCCCAGGGGCTGACCGCTGACAGGCCTGCGTGACCTTTGGGTCGGCGTAATTGTGGTCAAATGAACGTGCCGCTTAGCCTCTCCCACATCAGCCGGTGGACTGATCGGTCGTTGCTGTTCAGGTGAGCAGCATTCAGCTTAGCGGGCGCATCGGTGAGACAGTGTTCGGCTTTGGTCACATGACCTCTGGCCCCCAATTCTGCTCTTTTCCGTGGGCGTTGACTCTCGGTCCCGCGTGCTCGCTTGCCTTACTAGTCTTGTCCGGACTGATCCGAGCCTTGTACGAAGCGCCTGGTAGGCGGCATGTAGATCTATTGCTCGGTTGAATCGTTAAATAACTGGAAATATCTCCTTCGTGTAATAGGCAAACTCTGCGAATTGAAGAAATAGCACTAGCATATACCCAACTAAATGGTATTGTCGACAAAGACAAGGGAGACTGGAATGGCCATTTCTGGCTAATTAGCCGTCGTCAGCCAGTCATGCCCAACACTCGAGGCCCGAATTCGCGACCTCCTAATTAGAAGTCCAACGCCTCTAATCACTAAGTCACGGGCCCGTTGTCCTGTTGGTCGTGATCGGGAATATAAAATGGCAGATGGACGCTCACCGATTGTTTCTACGGAACCCACTCGAGGGAGAGCCATAAGGCGCAACGGGACGAGTGAGTTTCATAGAAACGATCGGTGATCGCACCTCCACCACCATATACCTGACTTCAATACACAATACACAAACTGTTCCGATGCTCGACCAGTCTACCCCCTTACTTAAACTTACACCTGGAGCTCAAACTTCATGTGTTCATTTAAAGATATGTTTCTGAGTAGTGCAACGATTTGTATGCGTCAGGATTGTAGAGCTACAGAAATATGCGTGCATACTAGGGCGAAAACATTAATCAGACTACAGTGATGCAAATGGACTCGTATCTACGCGCGATGTCCGGCTGCACGCATGAAGGCGAAAATGGGCTTCCGGCTATTTGTTGGACGGAAACGAATCAATATAATGTCCGCTTTTATGACAGATGCCGATCATGGCCATGCTGACTTTCCACGTTAAGTATGTGCTCACCGGTGACAGGGAGGGCAATCGTGTAAGAAATGCCACCAAGCGAGTCGGCTTTTCTGAATGAGGGCAAAAAAACGGCGATATGCAGATAGGAGAGTTCCTGCTGGCCATAATGCTCGGTCGGAGGTCGGACTTCGGAAACCGCAGCGCCGCTCTGATTCACTCCACTGAGGTTGATAGTCACTAAACTACCACAGAATAGTCTCCTGCCAGACGTAGTGGACTCGGCTTCCGGGAACTTTAACAGGCTCGTTATTTTTCAGTCTTGATTACGCAACGCTACTGAATACTGTAATGTTGGCTTTGCATTAATTAACTTACAGTGTAAAATTTGCGAGAACCGAAATTCACCACTGTGTTAGAACCAATATCTATGCTCAACGAAATTTCCTGCAAAGTAGTTTCGATAAGTTTGATCTTAGCATGCTTGTCGATGGTAAGTCAGATGTAAACATAATTTTAGCATTGATTCAATAACGCGTAGCAGAATATGCCCCTGCAGGACTTTGCCATGTCGAAGCGCGTGAGGGAGAATGACGACAACGTTAAAGTAACGATTGATTCGCCAAGAGTCAGTCAGACCTTCGAGTTCGATGAAGTGAAAATTCTCGTGAGAGCACAGATTGGCAAAATTGAGAGATCCGGGTTGATGACTGGAAGAAAAGGATGGATTCATCGGGACGGGTTTATTTGGAAGCTGACGTTTTGGCTCTCCATTGTCAAAGCGTGAAATACCCCTAAACGACCAGAAATCCCAATCGGCACGTTAAGTTGGCCAGCCTGTACTGTAATGTTGACTTATTTCGAACATGAATGTCGAGAAAATTAGACCAAATAATGGAAGTGCATCTTAATGATTTGGTGCTGCGTAATGAGTCTTAAGAGACATCATATCTTTTTTATGCGAACTAACTAGAGAAAACATGTTTATTACCTCTCCGTCTCGTGAAAGGAATGCCATGATTAGTGCGTGGGAAATTTCGAACTACGAATCACTTAATCTCGCTAATACAAGCGACTCGTAATCATTTATTATGGAAACTGACACGCCAAATTTTCATTTCTTCTAATCTTCTAATTTGCCTCCTAGTTAGTTATATTTTGTCCTGGATTACCCATACCGTTTGTTTTAAGTGCAATGTTTATCTTCATAGTCTCTAGGGCACCTTTGCATCTTCGGATGCTTGGGGTTAACCGTAAAGATTTTCCTCACGCTAAGTTGTACAAAATTATTTCGGTGGATAAACATCAAACGCGTGAATGCTTATACTTTTTTAACAAAGGCGTAAATGCGAAGAAATTGCTGAGATATTCTGAATGGCTTTGTTAACCGTTGAATCCGACTGCATGGACTCAAAATGGCCGACAGCACCTACAGAAACGCTCTTGAAACTATAACTTTGAAGTCTTTTGAAATTCCAAACTGATAAGGAGGACCAACGCTTTAACAGGAGAAATAATGCTGTCATTTGATGTCCCTAATCTGCCTTCTTCCATATAATTGAATTTGACTAATCCTTGCCTAGATGCATTCCTCCAGTCCTGCGACTTGTTAAATCCTGCGCCTGTCCTGTAAGAACTACAAGATCTTCGTACAGTATATGTGCTAACTCATGAAATGTCAACCAAAA